ATGGGCTTTGGGTCTCCACTCCGCACTCCCCCATCATTCACTATGGTAAGATTTTTTGTTCTGATGATGCCAAGCACCTCTTCTTAAGCATTGAATGATTCTTCTGTTCTTGTTAGGTGCCATATAGCCAGCTGAGACTCAGCGACTCTGTATACAACAGAATGAAACATTACCCAGTCCTAATTGCTATGTTTGAGCCTAGTATTGCAGCTGCTGGGTCACTCCATCTCTTTAAGAGTCTTCCTCCCTCCCCGCCACTCCCCTTCTATTTTACAATGAAGGCTGTCTTTTTCCAGGGAGTGGTCTCTCCTGATAACATGTTCTAAGTATGAGACTAAGTCCTGGCTTCATTGTTCCTAAGGAACATTCTGGCGGCACTTCTTCCAAAACAGATTTGCTTGTTCTTCTGACGGTCTATGGTGCGTTCAGTATTCTTTGCTAGCACTGCATGCAAATGCATCGATTCTTCCTAGGTCTTCTTTACTCAATATTCCACTTTCACAAGCATATCAGATGATTAAAACCACGCTGGCTTGAGTCAGGCACACCGTAATCTTTAGTCCTCAAAGTAGTATCTTTGTTTTTCAACACTTTAAAGAGGTCTTTTGCAGCATATTTGCCCAGGACAATATGTCATTGGATTTCTTGACTGCTGCTTCCATGAGTATTGATCCAAGCAAAAGCAAATCCTTGACAGCTTCAATTGCTTCTCCGTTAATCACAGTGTTATATATTGGTCTAGTTGTGAGTATTTTGGTTTGACAATCCATACTGAAGGCTGGAGCCCTTGACCTTTGTCAGCAAGCACTTCAATGCTCCTTACTTTCAACAAGAAAGATTATGTTCCCTGCACGCTGCAGGTTATTGACAAGCCTTCCTCCACGCCGGATGCTGCGCTCTTCTCCACCTCGCTCAGCTTCTTGGGTATTGGCTCAGCACCTACATTGAATAAGTATGGTAAGAGGACATAAGTTTCTCAGTATGACATTATTATTACCTTAATATTACCTTGTAGCTCACTTCCTTTATTGTTTTGACCTTGGGAGATGGGTTGGTTGTGATAGTTAAGGTTTTGTGTCACCTTGACTAGATCAGAATTCTCAGTGGATTAGCAGTCAATACCTAGTGATCTCCTAAGACAGGATCTAATACAATGTAATTACAACCAGTCAGTTGTAAGCCTCCATAAAAGGATAAGATTTGGGTTGACTGTAATACTCTTACTCAGGTCACAACCCTAGTGCAATTAATTGCCTTTGGGGTATGGCCTCTTTCCAATATGATTCTGAATCCTGCACCTGGCTCATCTACTTATGGTTCTTTTACACTTGAACCAATGGCCTGCCATCTTGTCTACTATACTGGGATTTGCCAGTGGCCTGCATTCTAATCTGCTTCTGCATCCACCAGCGGGTTGTCTTCCTATAGATCTTAGTTCATTAGCCCTCAGAGCTACATTTAGGAGAGGTCTCCACCCTAACATCTGTACTATGGGCTTGGATCTGTCCAGACTCAAATATAAGCATCACTGGTTTTGCTTTTCAAGTGAACTCAGCCTCTAATGAAGACAGTCTTATTTTCCTTTGAAGATTCCATTATCATGTATTTTTACAATCTATTTCAAATTCCTTTGGATTTATGTAGAATAAGTGTATTTTAAAAATACTGTTCCATTTACTTATAATTTTTTGCTCTTCTATTTTTATTCAACTCTCACCCAGCCCTCAAACTCACCTTTCACTGCTCTTCATTGGTCTTCGTTTCCTCTGGCTTCTTGCGTTTCACTTTTTATTAAATATGATTTTCAATTCGTCACTCTTGTTTCATGTATATTATCTTTGTGGTCTCCATGTTGTTGTTGTATTAATGTCATTAGTTGTCATTCACTCAGCTCCAGCTGGTGGCAGCCCCATGAACAACAGGACAAGACACTGCTCCACCCGTGCCATCTTCGTGATCACTGACTGGCATGCTTGAGCCTGTTGTCACCACTGTGTATTTTACGTGCCTGCCATCTTATGGGGCTGTATCAGATAATATTATATTATGTCCCAGAACATTGTTATTGGCTGACTTTGAAAAGTAGTTTGCCAGATCTCTCTTCCTAGTCTGGAAGCTCCTTTAAAGTCTGTTCACCTTAAATGAGCCTGGAGTACTTGCAATACTAGTGCATAGCTTCCAGCATTATAACAACATGAAAGCCACACTAATGGAGAAAGTTGTTGACAAATTTATAGCTGATCTGTGGTTTTTAATGATAAGGATCATGTTTCATACATGTCTGAATATTTCATTCACTGTCATTGAGTTAAATCCACCTCTCACTGATCCTATTGAATAGTGTAGCACTGCTTCTGTGCATTTCTGAGGTTGTAAGTCTTTAAAGGAGCAGAAAGCTGCATTTTTCTCCCCCAGAGTGGCTGGTGATTTTTGAACTGCGAATTTACCGTTAGCAGTCCAACATCTAGCCCACTAAGCACCAGGTCTCCGGTAGTGAATGCAAAAGTATTGTATCAAGAAATACTAGGAGCTCATACCAAGGGCTCAAATAGAAAATAAGTGTTTAGAAAATGATGATGGCAATATATGTACAAATATGTTTGATTCAATTGATGTATGGAATGTTGCAAGAGCTGTAAGAGCTCCCAATAAAATTATTTAAAAAAAATTTTTGTTTTTCCTTTTATAAAAATTCTTCCTGTGTAGTACATGCTCAATTTTAGCTAATTTTAGCTACTTTTCAGAACATTTCAGGAACCCATTTTTGTTTGCAGCGGCCTGTATTTGTATATTCATGAAGACCATTCCCTCTTTCAATTATATATTGGACTCCTATGATAAGGGTTTTTTTTTTCAGCAGGTAGTTCGTCTTTGCAACATCCTTTGCATTCCTTCTTTGAGAGGAATGGTAAGGACCTGGCAGGGGTTAAGTTCATTCTGCTGCATCTTAGGGATGGTAGGTAGATTTTACTCCTACTGACTTAGGAATCACTTTTACAACTGGTTGGACATCAAGTTTTCATACAAATCCAAGACCTAGATGCAAGACAGGTACTGGAGCTTCTAATCGTGGGGAATCTGGGCTCTAGCGAAGGTGATAGTTTCACGTTCCCACTAACAGTCGGACACATCAACCAAACCAAGTGAAAAGATCGTTAGGTCTCTCTCTCAGGAGAAATACACCTCTGTCCTTGGCTTTGCGGGAGAAAGAATTCACGCGGAAGCCTAGCTTGTGATCCACGTGAGTTTATAGAGGATAGAAGCAATGTCAGGTTTTACAGTAAACGGAACACAAGCCAGAGTCCACCACATGGCTGGGAGAGCCCCCTCTAGAGAAAACTTCTGGTTTTTCAGGGACCCCACTGGAAGGCTTGTGGTCATTGGCTGAATCAAATTCACCTGACTTACATGGGCAAATCCAGCCCATCTAGGTGTACCACCCCTTCCTAGCTGGGCGCCTGAATGCCAGCCTGCACTCCAGCCCCTATGGCTGGCTAGGCTAGCCTGATTCTCTGCAGCAATCTCCTGTAGGGGCGCCTTGGCATAGCGGGGGACAACTTCCTATCTGGCTACCCCACAAACCCACCACCAAATCACTGCTATTGAGTCGATTCTGACTCATACAACCCTCGATAACAGAGTAAAACTGCCACTGTGGGTTTCCGAGACTGTTAACTAACTGGAGTGAAATGCCAGATCTTTCTACCGCCTCCAGCTGGTGATTTTGAATCCAACTCTTATCAACCCTATGGAACAGGTTAGCACTGCCCCAGTGCAATTCTGAGGTTATACATCTTGAAAGGAGCAGAAAGACCAACATGTAAGCACTACTTCCTAAATCCAAGATAATTAGCGTGGGCCAGTGAAAGGCGGCCTTAGCTCAACGCCCCACACAGAGACTACATTTCCCAGTGAACAGCGTGCTCACGCCTCCCCGCCCCCTTACGTCAAGACTACAGGTCCCAGCATACAGCGCGGTCCCTTTCATGCCACCCATTGGTCGACTGGCTGTTTCTCGCCCGCGTCTTCAGGGATTGGACGCCCGGAAGTACGTACGCGTTGACGTCAGCGAGGTGGATTTTGCCCCCTTCGTTTCGCTTTTCTCCCACCTTGGTTGCCAGAGTCCCGCGGCCCGGGTTGGTGGTTTCTCGACGGCCGCAGTGGCTAAACGCTCGGGGAACCTGTAGGGGCTGCCGCGCCAGCTCTCTGTTTTCCGAGCTCGTGATTTCGTAGTCCAAAATGGACAAAGTCTGTGCCATTTTTGGAGGCTCCCGAGGCATTGGCAGAGCGGTGGCCCAGTTACTGGCCCAGAAAGGCTACCGACTGGCGATTATTGCCAGGAATATGGAAGTGGCCAGAGCCACTGCCGGGGACCTTGGCGGTAGGTATCAGACTGGAGCTGTCCGTTTGCGTGGCTGCGACCCCGTCCCCTTAGTCTTTCTCTCTAAAACTGGCAGGCCTGGCCCAAAGATTTAGCAAGGCTATCTGAGCAGATTGCACCTCGCAGGTTAACGTGCGCCCCGCCCGTCCCATCCAGCAGGGCTTCCCCTGTCACCTCATCACCTCGCCACTGAGCACCTGGGGCTGGCTCCCTTGAAGTTAAGCCTTTGCAGTCCTGAAGGCCCCTTCGTGTGTGCTCAGCTCCCTGAAGCCGGGCTGACATCTGATAGGCGGAGGCACTTCAGTTGGGGAAAGGGCTCAGGAGACAGGTTAGACCCAGGACAAGTTCAGGCTGAAGAGTTTGGTGTCACTAGTGAAAACAGTCCACATCAGTTTTGCCAAGGGCTCTTCCTGCCATTGAGCGGATACACAAATCAGTGTTTCAACGAGAAATCGTTTTCAGTACCAGTCAAGTTTACAGTATACCAGACCGGCTTTAGCCCATTTAATACGTAATTTTGAAGGCTTTTACATTGTTTTGATGGATTTTGCAAATAAAAGCTGTTCCGCAAAACTCCTTTCATTACACTTAACAGACCCTCCCCCCCGTTCATTAATAATGGATTAATCATTGTTTAGTATATTTTACTAATATATGTCTTTTTGAATGGTGGGAGAAATAGGACATTTGAAAAGTTTTAAGAAGCTTCTATTTGTTTAGTTACAGGAAGGGACAAACGTACCTCATTTGCTACCAGGAAGGCATACAGAAAAGTAGAGGTCTTGGGATACGTTTTGTAGCCATAACCTTTAAAAAAAGCATTATGATTGGTTTGGTATGATTCATTTTAGCTAAATTGTTTACTTGGAAGAATACTGCCACTGTAAATGGTAAAAATACGTAGTAGACTAGGGAGTATTTGAGTGAAGGGATATTGTTGGTTTTATTGCTATTGCGTTATTCTAAGGAATGATAAAAAGAATTGGGTAAAATGAGGTTAGTGTGAAATACTTCTTGCAATGCATTATGAAAATATTTTAAGTTAAAAATCTTTAAGACTAACTTTTTGTAATAATTCCTCTTCTGGGGGTTTAGACTAGTATAACCTAGCATATACGAGGGGGCACCCCGGGGCACCCCCCCCCCAAATTAACCGGAAAAAAGCTCTGCTGGGCGGAGCTTTTGTAGTATGCATTTTTCCCACTTGGCAAGCATCAAGCAGCTTGGTTCTGGGTAAGTGCACACAGTGGCATCACCAGGGAAGGTTCTTTCTGGTCACAGTGAATTTTTTCATGAAAGCAGTTTTGCTTGAACTTTGTTTTCTGGGATGGCCAATTTAAGAGAACTAAGTGTGGCTGTGAAATTTTGTTTCCTGCTTGGGAAAAAATGCTTTAGAGACTTGTGATGTTGAACACAGCTTTCTAGGACAGCACTATGGGAAAAAGTCAAGTGTACGAGGTTTTCTCTTTTCAAAAAAGGTGAAATGTCGATTGATGACAAACTTCATTATGGATGTCCATCAACTTCCAGATCAGAAGAAAATGTCGACAAAATTTGTGCATTGAGCTCCAAGACTGGACTATCTTAGAACTCGATTCAGCGAATTTTAATGGAAGATTTGGGAATGAGAAGGGTTGCTGCAAAATTTGTGCCTGACTTACCAGCAAAAAGAGCATCTATTGGAAGTATGCTGTGCTTTGAAAGAACAGCTCAGAAGTGACCCAGACTTTTCCCCCAAGGTCATTACTGGCGACAAGACGTGGTGCTATTCTTATGACCCTGAAAGGAAACATCAATCAAGCTAGTGGAAGACACCATTGCCACCTCCCACCTCCCCTCCCCCCAAAAATCTTGTCAAGTGAAATCAAAGGTGAAGATGATGCTCATTTGCTTTTTTGATGTGAGGGGGATAGTGCATTTGGAGGTTCGTAGGACCAGGTCAGACTGTCAATCAAACTTTCTGTTTAGAGGTTCTGAAAAGACTGCATTACAGTGTGCAACAAAAAGGCCTGATTTGTTTCAGATAGGGAACTGGTTTTGCCACCATGACAATGCACCTGCTCATGCTGCCATCTCAGTGCACCAGTTTTTAGCAAAAAACAGCACACCTCTCTTGCACTACTCACCTTACTCACCTGATTTCACTCCGTGTGACTTATTTTTGTTTCCGAGAATGAAAAGGGACACGAAAGGATAGCGATTTGATGACATAGAAGAGGTGAAGAAGAAAAATAAGGGGAGGTTCTCTCAGCCATCCAAACAGATGAGTTTGAAAAATGTTTCCAAAAATGGAATGGCAGGTTTGACAAGTGTATTAAGTGTAATGGAGAGTACTTTGAAGGTGATAAGGTTGTTTTGTAAAAAAAATTTAAATAGATAGCTTTGAAAAAAAGTTCCTTTTTCTTTTTGGTATGCCTCCATATGCTTAACAAATGGAAGGGATTTAAGTTATTGATTCTAGTAATAATTTATAAATAATTCTATTCTAAAATAATTAATTCTAATTTGTGTAGGTGACCATATGGCATTTAGCTGTGATGTTGCCAAAGAACATGATGTTCAAAATACCTTTGAAGAGATGGAGAAACATTTAGGTCGAGTTAATTTCTTGGTTAATGCAGCAGGTATTAACAGGTTGGTCACCAATTTAAGTACTAATGTGTATTTGATTAGTGTGAATTAATATTCAAAAATAAGCTATTTACTTCTCATTAGAAGAAAATGTCTACTTTGCCCATCATGTCTTTCTCCAAGGAAGTAGTCCCTCAGGATCACATGTCCAACGTACGTGAAACAAAGTCTTACCGGCCTCCTTTCTAAAGAGATTCTGCCCGTAAATCCTACAGACAGGTTACTTCATCTTCCAGCTAGTTCATTGTATATTCAGCATTCTTCACCAACACCATAACTCAAAGGCATCAATTCTTATTCAGTATTCCTTATTCATTATCTAATTATAAGGAGCCCTTGTAGTGTAGGGGTAACCCATTCGGCTGCTAAGTGAAAGGTAAGCAGTTTGAAACCACTAGCTGCTTCTCAGGAGATAGATGAGGCTTTCCACTCCGGTAAAGAGTTAAAGTCTGAGAAACCTCAGGGACAGTTCTACGTTGATATAGGGTTGCTTCAACTCAGCTGCAACTCGATGGGAGTGAGTTTGGTTTTGGTTTTGTCTACCTGCATTATACAGATGAAGGAGTTGAAAATACCCTAGGATCAGGTATCCTTAAATTCCCCTACCTGTTCTCAAAAAGTGACGTTTACTTTTTAAATTTTTAAAGAGTTCTTTTGCAGCAGATTTGCCCAGTGTCCAATTTCTGGAATTATTTGCTCAGAATACAGTTTGAATATAGTAAAATGATACAGCTCTTAGACACACATTTCCTAATTTGAAATCATGCAGTCTCTCCTTTTACTGTTCAAATAACTGCCTCTTGGTCTGGGTTCAGGGGCTACATGAGCACTTGCGCAAGTGTTCTGGAATGACTATTCTTTGCAATATTTTGTCTATAGTTGAATGCTTCCTGAAATGGTTGAGCATTGACATAGCTTGATACAGCAACTCTGTATTTCTTTTCTTTTTTCTTTTACTAACAATTTTTATCGCAAATCAGGCCACCAACGTTTGTATTCATTAAATTGCTTATCAGCCCCCAATAGTTTACTCTTCACCTGCTTCTTGATTTTTCTTCTCCCTCTTGTGGACTATTATCTTCCTTTCACCCAAGTTATTGTCTGTCAACAGTTGAGCTCAGTGCTTTTCTTCTCCTCCTTGCCCTCCCCCATATTCCTTCTCTTGATATTCCTCTGTTGCTCAATAGTTTGCCCATAGAATCCTTCAGCAGTTCAACTGGAGACTTGATTTTTTTGTTCCGTTCTTTCAGCTTGAGAAATCCTGAATGATTTTCCCTTTTGGTTCTTTAATATATTTTATGTATTTCATTATAATACTTTGACTTCTTAAATTCCCTTACCTCTTTTCTTTTATCATTTATTTAATTTCTTCCATTCCATAGCTACTCTATTGTCAAGAGCAAGTTCCAGAGTCCCCTCTGACATCCATTTTGGCGCTTTCTCTTTTCCTGTCCTTGTAATACCTTTTACTTTCTTTATGTGTGATGTCCATAGCTTGTTACTTCATTAGTACTTGCTCAGTTAAATATCTCCTTGAGGTGGACCCCACATGCAGGTAGGATATGCTCAAGGTAATACTTTGGCTCCAAGGACTTGGTTTCATTTTTCTCAGCCTCAGTGTGAGTTTGCACATGAGCACTTCATGATCTGTCCCACTATCAGCTGTAGACTGATGTTATCAAGTTTCTCAATCATCTCTTTCCACAGATGTAGTTGATATGTTGCCTGTGTATTTCTGGCAAGGTCCATGTGTATAGTGACTTTATTTTGTGGGAAAAAGATACTTCCGATGAGTAGGTTGTTGATATTACAAAACTCCGTCATGTGATCTCCATTGTAGTCCATATCACCAAGGTGGTAATTTTGAACTTTGTCAAAAAGCACCTTCAACTTCTTCATCTTTTCCATTAGTAATTGCTGCCTAAATATTAATGACAAGTTAACTGCCCATCTCTATAGACATATTGATATTATACTATCACTGACAGGATTATACTTTAAGCTAGTTCTCAAAATGTATTCTGAAAGGTAGTCACTGTTCTCATTTTTGTCACCATAAGTAAGTTTTGCTGGTTCAGAGCTTCATACAAATGGAATCATCGATGAGTAAACTATTAGATAATATGTGGATTATGTGCTAATAAAATTGTTTAAAAGAAATGCAAAACAAGTGGAATCATGCTTTCAAACAGATACAGTTTTTAAAGATGAACTTAGCAGTGAGAAGGCTTAATGACATTTTGACTTTCTTGTTAAGATGTAATGTGGCGATTATTCAGATCATTCATGCTGTTTTATCTACATGGCAGTGATTTGAGCATTTAGGAACCTTTGCCACTCTAGGTAAAAGGTACTAAGACTCTGGCATCCAGGTAGAGTTTTTATACCTTCTCATTCTCATTTTATTTCCTTTCAAGCTAAATTCAAAATGGGACACTAATTCTAGTCATTTAATCTCATACAAGGCACTTCTTATACTACTTTTAGCAGAATGTTACATGATTTTTGCAAAAAAAAAATCCTGTGTTTTTCTTCAAATTTAGAGATAACCTTTTGGTAAGAGCAACAACTGAAGATATGATATCTCAGCTTCATACGAACCTCTTGGGTTCCATGCTGACATGTAAAGCTGCTGTGAGGAGTATGATTCAGCAACAGGGAGGCGCTATTGTTAATGTAGGTGAGTCTTTAGTCTGTGAATTTCTAATGATCTCATATTGTTGCTAGTTGCTGACAAATCAGTTTTGACTCCTGGCAACCCCCAGGTGTGTCAGAGTAGACAAAGCCCCATTGGGTTTCCAAGGCTCTGGTGCTTCTGAAACATCTCCCTGCCCTTCTTCCAAGGCGCCTCTGGAGGAGTTCACGCTGTCAGCCTTTAGTCGTCTCATTGAGTGACTAGCCATCTGTGCCGGTGAGAGACGCCTACTTATCTCATGGTACCATGAAAACAGGCTTTAATTTAACATTTATATGTGTATATGACTAGATTGAGATTTTTCTCCATATTACCTATGAAAAAAAGGCTTAATGGGCTGACCAAGGGGTAAAGCCAACATCACAAAGTCACATGTCCCTAAGAGTTGACTAAAAAATTAAAATCACTGCCATAGAATCAGTAGTGACTCATAGCGACCCTATAGGACTGGGTAGTACTGCCCCTGTGGGTTTTGGTGAATGTAACTGTTTAATAGGATTAGAAAGCAGGTGTTAAATGAGTAAAGCCACCAAGCATTTGAAAAATAATATGTATTCATTTAGTCCAGAGGAAGTTTGGAGTAGTGGGCTCAATGCAGTGGATTACTCCTGTGCAGGAAAATGGGTCAAGTTTTGCCAGCTACTTAGATTTTCCAAAAGAAATTGAACATCTAGATTTTTATCTGAAAAGTAATTTTTGAAATATAGAAAAAGAATGAAAAGTTTTTATATGGACTCATAGCAACCCTATAGGACAGTGTCGAACTGTCTCAGGATTTCCAAGGCTGTAATCTCTGTGAAAGCAGACTGCCCCATTGTTCTCAGTTCAAACAGCTGACCTCCTGCCCTTGGTACTTACCAAGACCATATATGTGCTTATTCTTGTCACTTTATATAATAAGGTCATACAGTTTTTTTCTTTTTGGGATTGACTTCTTGCACGTAGCGTACCGTTTCCAGGGTTCAAATTGATACAAGCTTCTTAACATGTTAGATAAGAAATTTAGGGCACAGGGAATTTATGTTAATGATATTGGAATAATTTTGAAAACTATAGCAAGACTAGATATACATCTTGAAGGATGTAAACCATGCTACTGAATTGTATATGCAGAATTTGTTGGAATGTTGCAACCTTTGCTGTGTATATTTTGTTCTTTTAAATAGTTTTATTAGAACTTCACATCATACAATTCAATAATTCAGTCACATCAAGAAGGGTTGTACAATTGTCACCATATTAACTTCTAGAACATTTTCTTCTTCCTTATACTCATTGTTATTCATGTACTTATTATTTTTTCTCATTGTGGCAAAATATACACAACAGAACATTCTCCA